GGGGCACTAGAGTGGCCCTCCCTTCCCTTCTACAGGGCTGAGCTGAGGGGGGGTTGTGGTCCAGCCCTGGCAGGATGCTATGATTAGGGAAGGGTCCCCCCCTCCCTCCTGACCAGCCCAGCAGGGAATGTTTAATCACCCCTAACTCAGTGTTTATCACCCCATTAAGAAAACAGAGGAACATTACCAGCTACCTGTTGATTCTACCTTTGTCCCGTGTGCCACAGCTCGGAGGTAGCCAGCACGTGGTCTGCTAGCTAAAGCTGAGGTGTCTGTGAGGAATGGGGAGATGCCTGCAGAGACTGCCGGAGCAGCAGCCAGGGAGCAGAGGGGAGGGGCCAGAACTACTGTCTGCCCAAAGAGCATGTTGGGATCCTGGGGAGTCTGACTTAACTTAAACCAAGAAAGTGTCTGGGACAGACACTGCAAAAACTGGTTTGACCCAAATCAGTTAAGTCTGATACCACATTCAACCAGGTTTAACTCAAACTGGTTCCAGCCATTCTCAAACTGGTTTATGTGTACTGAACATCTGTTCTGTTACAGGTTTAAAGCAGTAAACTGGGTTGATCACTTAAACCGGGTTATATATAATGTCTTTCCCAAGTCCTGAAGTGCAATCACATTAGCAGGTACATAGTTACACATTACGCTATGAGCTGCACAAATGTTGATAGGTATTAGTACTAGCTTGAATTTGGAGCCACACACGTTCAGGCCAGCAGGGGCCTGGAGGACTAAAAAGTAAGAACCACCACCCCCGCTTATTCCAGATTTCCCTCCCCCCCCAATTCTTGCCACCCCCTCACTCCTGGGACTCCTCCCACCCTCTGGCTTCCACTTTTTTATGCCCTCCTCCACTGTCTGTCCCAGGGGAGTGGGCAGGGAGGGGTTACCCTGCCTGCCTGGCCACTGGCACAGCTGCTGAGCTGCAGCTCTTCTCTAGGCTGAGCCAAGCCTGGAGAGCAGCAGCAGAGGTGGTGGCAGCGGGACATGCAGGTAAACCCTTCCTTGCCTGCTTCCCAGGATAGAGTATGTGGTCAACTACAAGGAAGCAGGCACCAGCAGCAGGGATCTGGGATGGGACAGGGAGTCAGTGGGCCTAATCTGGCCCAGCAGGGGAGAGGGGGATGGTTGGGTGCTTACACTGGTATAGCCAAGTGGCTGTACCTTAGTGTAGCACAAGCTGAGTAACATGAATCAGACAGAATCCTGCCCTTGAGTGGGGTTACCTTAAGCCACCTAATGAATGATTAAAGCCAGTTTCAGGTGTTAACATGCAGGTAGTCTAGGGGCTAAGAGCTCCAGGAGCTGCCCAAAATGACCATGTAACAAGGCGTATACTCAGACTGTTAACCAGCCTCCGCTATGAAACAGCAGGCATCTCACACCTCAATTACTGTGAAAATGCCGCAAGATGATTTGAATACGTTTCTGCAACAAAAGAAATCCTGCATAGCAGGCTAAATCCAGAAGCCCTTATTGTCATAAAACTCCTAATAGCTTTAGTGAATAACGCTTTTTTTCCAGATTTCACTTATTTTCTTTTTCAGTCTCAGCACTTTCAAAATTGTTTCTCTTCCTATTGCCATGGATGGAACACACCTGCATAACCGATACAAATTTTTGTCTCCAAATATCTTTATTTGCATTAACATCTGTGCATATTTCTGCTGTGCTGAACAATACTGGGGGGAAACACTTCTGAAACTTCCTCCCTATTAAGATAAAATATGCTGCTAGTTCACATATCTCTCCCACTTCTATTTTGTCTGCACCAGAAGCTCTTCTTTGCAGTTCCTCTCTCTGTAAAGTAGATGGAAAGGCATAGCAGAACAGCTCTGTGCCTAAAGCAGTGCCAGTCCTGCTGTGATGATTAAGGCCGCTGCTTTTGCAACTAAACCCAAAGGTAGCAACCAGGGCTGCTGCCTCTGTAGCCTGCCCTCAGTTACACTAACTACTGAGTAGGCGACATCTTCTATTGTTGTCCTTTGCCCATAGGACCAATGCCTAGATTGGAAGAAACAAGCACTCTCTAGGCATAAAGCCTGGCTTCTTGTTAACAACAAGAAGAACAATCTGAGAAGCAAAAGGATGGTCAAGTTAGGGGCCTAGTTGAGGATCTGGAGAACCCAGGTTCAGGTTCCTGTTCTGTCACCATCCTCCATTGTGATCTAGGGCCTCACAATGCCTCACCTCCCCATTTGAAACGGAGATACTAGTACTTCTAAACACATTTATAGGTGTGAATAATTTTACTAAAACTAGACTAGGGAGTAATAGAAGAGTGATGTCATAGCTGTGATGGTCCAGAAATTATAAGAGGCAAGGATTTCTTAGGGTGATATTTTTCACTGGGCCAGCTATGTAGTTGGGTTAAAGATCAACAACCTTTTGAACAGAAGGAAGGACCCAATGAAGAGTGTCTCATCCTAAGAAATCCTTGCCTTTTGCACACAAGGGAGTAAAGAATATTGAGACTATAACTAGGCACCAACAACAAAACAAGAATTAACTCTTTGGCATTTTTGCCAGGCAAGTTTTGATGAGGGGGATGTTCTTTGCCTATGCTGTGATGCTGCAATGCAGGAGTTGGCTTGTACTCACCACCCAGTCTGCTTTACGAACACATCCTAGAGGCTATAGATAAGAGATGACTGCTTAGGCCATGTACCCCAGCTTCCTGCCAAGGCAAGCACTGCTCCCCACAGTACATTCTCTAGTGCTCTAAGTGAGGTTGAGACTCAGCACAGGGGAACAAGATCCAAATAATACAAATCTTTAATAAACCTAAACTCATCACTCTGATTTCTATAGCTGAAATATGGAAAAGGCAAAGCATACAGGTAATATAAATGTTGATGAATTAGTGGCTCAATACTTCAGTCTTAATAATGCTTCAGACCTAATAATCTGAAATGCTAATGGTAACACTGTTACAGATTTAAAGAAATCTGCACCTATCTATAGCTCATCCACAGCCATTTACAATTTGAGACAAGACATGAAAGCTTACTACATGGCACTACAGAGGGGGCAGGAAAGTCCACCAACAATATCAGGAAGGAACCATTAGACAGACAAGAATTCTGCTCCTGAAACTGGCAACAAAATCACCATTGATTTCCATGGGTGGAGCAGGACTAATTTCTTCTACCCCTGTAGTCTGGTACAAAGACTCTCCCCTGCTCCTGCCACCCCAGCCCCATAAGCTGGCCAGTGCATCCTTGTAGAGCCCTATTGTTTAACAGTGAGGCTCCACTGCTGAAGCATACTGACAGGGTTGCAGGAGAATGAGAACAATCCTTACTCATGGCCTTAGGCCTGCTCTAGTCTGCTTGAGTAAGCATTGTAGCATCAGACCCATATAAGCCTTCATTTCTCTTAGAGTTTCACTTGCATTAAATAAAAAGCCCAAGAAAGTGGAACTCCACCTACACACGGAATACCCCTGTGGGCACCCAGACAGACAGCACAGACCTGGCTGCTCAATATAATAAAACACTTTCCAGGAAGATGATAAAGAAAGTCAACTATTTTGGCTGAAATGTGGTACATAAAAACCCAACTGCAAGCAGCATTGTAATTAGCTCAACAAAGCTAAAATACGAAACCGAACAGAGTTCAGTGAACTCCACAGCAACACAAGCCTTCCATGTGTGCTTTCATATCTGCGCTGCAGATTTGCCTGGTTTTATAAGGCCACACAGAGAGAGATCATAAGGTAGTTCAGCTTTTTAGTGCAAGTCTTTTTCCTCAAGGCAGCCATCCTTGCAACCTGCCTGTCATCACAAACAAAACAAAGCAGTTTTATTACTCAGAAATGAGTCCGAACCAAGATGTAAATCTGGAACTTTGGATCCAGCCCTGAGTCTGAACTCTGCTTTTTGGGTCATCATGTTGACTAGCCTAGAAAATGGGAAGGGCAAAAAATAGATCTTGCCTATAGATCAAGGAAGCAGAGGAAGGACAGCTTCTTGGTGATGGACCTAGCTGGGACACAGAAGTTCATGGTTTGACTACTGTTTTTTCCACAGGCTGTGTGTGTGATCTTTGGAAAGTCCTCTAACCTCTTAGTGCCTCAGCTTTCCACATGTAAAAACTGGTATAAAAACAGACCTTTCAGTCTCACTCCTCACCCCCTCGCCTTTTCTGCCTTGCCTTTTTATCTTGTGACTTCTAAGGCAGGGTCTGTTTCTTACTGTGTGTCTGTACAGCTGCTGATAAATCAGCTCCAATCCTGCAGCCGTAGACCTCTGGGCATTACTGTAACAAACCGAATAACATCAAGCAGAGGACACTCTGCAATAGAAAACCAGCTGCATTACTTACCAGGCTTCTGATACCAGCCAAATGGGTATGTATTGGCTTCTGCATCTGAAGAGCTGCAGTCTGAAACCTGCCAAGCACTCCTCGTTTCCTCAGCACAGGTCTGGATTCCTAAACCATTCAGTGTCAAGCACAACACTTTGCCACCTGCCAGAAACATGTCCAGTTACTCAAACCACAGCAGCAGCTCTCAGATTTTAAGTAACATCGTTAAGAAATTGTTCAGTCTACACTCTGGTTCTGCTTTTCTGGTTCTATTGAGTGTGCAAACAAGCAAACCCCTAAGACTCTGAAATCAGGGAGGGAAATGCCCTTTGAACAGCATTAAGACTAGATCCTGGTCCTACTGCAGTCACAAATGAAGCTTTCCTTGATTTCAGTAGAAACAGGACTAGACACCAAGGGCTGTGTCTGAAGCCTACTGAAATCAGTGAAAGTCTCTGTGATAACTTTACTGGGAGCATGATCAGACTGCTCAGGACATCCCCTTGCCAGTGCAGAGTGACCTGGGGAACTGCCTTGGGAGTGGACTTGTTGGGAAGGGAGTGGGGTAGGGGGATATCACCTGCTGCAGCAACTAAACAATCATGTTAGCAGCCTGGTGACAGCCAGAAATCATTTACCCCAGATGCCCCAGGTGCCCACCTGCTTTGTTACGTGTCTGTGCAGCACAACTGCATTTCTGTCATTTAAAGCCTGTTATCACTTCCACTACAGTCAATAATGAAAAGTCCAAGTGAGTTTATTAGTGGTGGATCTTTAAAATGCTAGTGATGACAAATATCAGTGAGAAATATAAAGAAAACTGTGGTGACCAATCTGCAAAACTGGACCCCTTACCCCTCTTCTTTCCTTTCAAATTAGAGTTTAAAAACACAGCAGAACTTAAAACAATATTTCAGGAAGAGTTTGGATTTAATGGGATCACAGAACTAGGCAATGTGTGCAATATTGTTAATCTGCCTGAATGGAGGACTACATAAACAGATTTTAAGCATGTGTGGATTTACTCTGAATACAGTTTAGAAAGGAAAAACAAATACCTAATAGATCTTGGAAGAAAATATCATCTTTGGTGTCTCAGATTAACCCCCCAAAACACTCAGGTAAAAATAAGTGGTGGACAATTTGAAAATTTGTACAGAAACGATCTGGCCAAAGGCTGAGACTTTACCAAACAACTAAGGGAAGTAAGTGCCCAGCTCCCAATTAATTTCAGTAAGATCTGGGTGTCTAATTCCCCTATGCATTCAAGCAAAGTCTTAAGAAGAGGGCTAGCAAGTGATACATTGTAACAATATATCTTTTATCAGTCTGCCTAAATACTATCTGTATATATAATATAGATCTATAGCACTGCTAAGAAATCATTCCCATGCAGTGGTATCTATAAGAACTGAAGTGCTCAGCACACTTTGCTTTGGCCCTGAAGAAGGTATGTTACTTATGCTTGGACCTGGATAAGATCTTGCAAGGGTTTTATTATGGTTATCTCAAGCTGAAAGACTAGCAAAGCCCGGTATAATGAATATAGACTGAACAATAAATTATATAGCATCAGAAAAATGTACCTGTTGACTGTGAGCCATTTAAAAGCCCAAATCCCAAGCAACAGGGGTCAGCATCACACCAACGCTCACATTCAAAAAACCTGGTGGGGAAAGGAAAAGAAACACTATGGAGTTTAGTACAGTTGATCAGATGCTGTTGCTACAGCCTTGTTTACAATTGTTATGGGGAGGGGGCTACAGGCTCCCAAGGACAGAGCCAACACATTGTGATGAGGAGTTATGAAAGTCTGCACTACCTGCCAAAAACGACCACTGCCTAGTTCTTTGCATTGCATATACAAGGGCTCAGCTGTGATGTATAACTCAGTCAATAAACATTTGCTTTCTTAATCTAGTTATTTAGAACATTACTTTGATGGCTGTCCTTGAAATTTTAGCACAGATTAATTTGTGTGTTATTGCCAAAATTTCAGCGGGCTGATTGAGTAACTGTACAGCATTACATTATGCATACTAGATAGTACTGTTACACCCATTACAAATTCACTCCAAGTCCTGTGATTTGTATTGATTATTTTCACATACTGCTATTCTTTTCTTTGATATTTTTTTAACAGAAATGCCAGATTCTCTCCACTAGCACATTATAGTCTTGGCATTTGCACATGGCTAAGGCCCCAGGATAACAAAAACTGAGCCACGTTGAAACATACCCATCGGAAATGGCTTTCCCACTCAGGTCAATCTTGTTTCTTACTGTGATTCCTGTTACTTTGCAGAATGGCAAACGTGTGTAGAAGTTCTTCACAGTTGCTCCTAGAGTGACTGGGGGGGGGGGGG